TAATTAAATCAATTTAACACAAATTTAACGAAAATTCAGGTCTCATTTACTTTTTCAAAGGAAGCTGATTATGAACAGATCTTGAATGATTATGAAACTAGAGGTTGTTACTCTCTGTACATATGATTATTAGTTGTGGATCGACATTGTGAAAAGCCACAAATTTCAATTGAAGAGAATAAATATGGACCAATCAAAATCCAAAGATTTACCGCAGATCATTCTAGAATCAATATTCATTTTTGGTAAAATCCCTGACTGTAATTATTACATACGTAAGGCTAGATGAATAAAATATCCTCATAAATCTAATTTGTTAGGTGAATTGAAGTTATAATTATTTTTTACATTATAATGACTTTTGAAGATTTAAAATATTAAATTTATTAAATTTATAGGTGTAGTAAATAAAATAGCCCAGGGAGATGAACAAGAGTGTAACTTCTGCTTTCTAGATTTTGATGATCAACTTTTCTTAATTTTGATACTGCTCCTGTTACTCATCAAATGATGGCTCATAATACTTCTGACGATTATTCTGACATTGTCTTTATCTATGATGAATGTAAAAAAGATTATGATAATAATACTCTTCTATGATGTGAGAAATATGGTAGGTTAAAAAGAAATAAAAACAAATGTTTTTGTAGTCATTTAAAAGCTAAATTAACTAAATCACTTTCTGACAAAGGAATACTTTTACAAGCCTTTAATTTTCGCTTAGAAAATAAAATCAGAGAACTAGAGAAAGAGTTATTAATTATTAAAGAAGAATTAAAAATTGAAAGAGAAGAAGTAGCTAAGTTTTAGGAAAAATCAGAAAAGTGAAGTAAAAAGCAAAAACAGGAGTTATTAGATAAGATAAAAAGTTTAAAAGAAATATTTATCATTTAGAAGAAGAAAACAGAAAATTAAAAGATTAACAAAATGGTCAAATTGCTCAAATTGAAATCAAAGAGACTAAAGATGATCTTGGTTGAAAATAAAAAAGTAATTAAGAAAATTTATTTTAACTATCAAAGAAAATGATATTTATTTCCCTTTTAAAGTTTTTTTACTTTTTATTAGGTAATAATACATCATCATGATGCTTTCTTTTTTCAACATTTATTATTTTTCTTTCTTTTTGATAAATTTCATAGGTAATTCTTTCTTTTCTTAGATAAGTTTTCAGTGTCTGAGTATCATTTATTTTGAAAATATAAGGAGCAATTTTTTCATCTTATTCCTTTTTCAGAATACTTCTAATGGTACTGTAATTCTTGGGTTCCATAGTAAATTTGATATAAATAAGTTTTATATTAACTATTTTATATAGAAACAGTTCTATATATCACTTAACAAATGGAGGTATTATAAACTAATTGTGATGATAATAACTAAATTTTAATCTCTGAAATCTTTGGTAATACCAATGTTCACTTTATCTGGTTTTATTGCAGCATGTCCCAAATAATATATAAATATTTTTATTAAAATAATAAGAATCTTTATAAAATTGATATTTTCTTTTTTTATTTATTAAAATATTTAATATTTTATAAGATTATATATAATTTTTTTTATGAAATAATAAATATTTGTAACAGAATATTATATAATATTTTTTAATTAATTACTCTATTTAAATCTTTAAATTTTAAATATTAATCTATTATAATTTTTTTTTAATTAATTTAATAGAGAATTTATTCTTTTATTAAATTATTATTGTAATTGTTCTCTTTAAATAAAATAATTGCTTAAATTCTTTAATAACATTGTATTTAAGATATAAAGCTTACTATCAAAAAATATACTAAAAATTTAAAAATGCAGATAAAATAACAACATTTGTAAAATTATAGCCTTAATAATGTAGATTGAGCAATTTTATTTATTGATTTTCAATGATAAGATAACAATATATATGTATTTAAAGGTAGGTCTGCCAATATTTTTTTCAAATCTAATTGAATTGTGCATATAAATCTGCAATTCTACAATATCTTCCTTATTCATATCTAGCATGTTCTCTAAAGAAAGCACTCACATTTTCGTACACCAAGAAAGTAGTACATGTTCCAGGCAATACACGTATTACATTGGGTACTAACCCTTTATAAAATCCCAGGATACTTTCGGCCCTTTAATTATCAAATATAAAAATAATAAAAGAAAATAGTAAACCTTCTTAAAGATGAGTTCATAATAAAAAAACCAAAGATTTTTTACATACTTGTATACTTTTTTTATCGTATCTATAACACCATCGTATTTTATTTCGAATCTTTGATTTTGTAATCTTGTCCGAACAACTTGATATGGATAAGTTATTACCGTTGCAAACGTTTTTGATGTTGCTGCTATTAAAAGGTATTCCAAGTTATCCTAATTATTGATCCATCAAAAATATATAAAATATTCAACGTTAATTCTATTGACAGACTTGATCATATCGGAGACTTTCTTAAGTACACACCAATCTATCACGATCTTTCTCTGGATTAATCCTAGCTCTCCACCTCTTTAATTCCTCATAAGCCATAAATTGTAATGCACCATGAGATACACCAAATAATGCAGGTATCAATCCTTTATACAATCCACTAATTCCTTCATATTTATTTATCTGATACAACCCGTCTAAAAATAATAGCAAATAACTATAACTTAATAAAAATAATAATAATAAAAAAATCTAGATAACAATTTCAAAGTAGATTTTACAAACCAAATAATCCTTTGTATGCTCCTGGATCTGTACGATTGGTCGTACACATTCTTGTTTTTACTACCCAGAACGGATTTGTAAAAATTGCGGTTATTGCGCCTAAAGATAAATCAAATATAAGTAAATTTACTCCTAAATTTTGAAATTTTAAAAGACATTGTACCTGCTTGGGCTGATGCGGTTAAATGTTGTATAGAAGAAAGTTTCGATATCTTATCTCCATCCGCCATCCTTCTTTTAATCAAATCATATCTAAAAAATTAAAATTAAAAAAAAAAAAAAATAAGAAAAATTTCAATCAATATAAACTCAAAAATAGATTACATATTACATTATAAGAAAAAGGTTTGTTTTTTTTTCATTTACAAATAAAAATAAAATCCCCAACTAGCAGTAGCACCAGCTAAATTGGCTGTAACGCCACGATATAAACCTATAAATTGGTGTTTTTTGACGATATATTTCATTTCTATAAATGTAGCACCAAATCTACGTCTTCGTTTTGTAGATTCATCGACTAAAATATAAGATTGAACAAATTAAATTTGTTAATTATAAATTAGTTAAAGAAATTGATAAAAATTCGGTAAGACAGAAATTATGAAATAGGAAACTTACCAAGTTAACCCACCTTGAAATCTGGTTTTTATCAAGTCCAATGGATGTAATAAAATCGTGGTCATAGCTCCTGCTGTAATTCCTGCCATTGCATGGTCCTATTCATCATAAATAAAAATCTTTTTCAATTTTTTTTAATTAAAAAAATTGTTTAAAATAATTTGAAAGTCAAATTACGAAAGCCGTTGATCCAGAAAATGATTTTGGCATGACTGTAAAAGTAAAAAAAAAAAAAATTTTTTTAATTTTTTTGAGTTTTTATGCCGCTGCCTGATGTAGATAAGATTTTCGATCTTACATAAATTTTAGTAGACTTGCGACATTGTGAAACATATATGTCGATCTTAATTATATTATTTACAAATTATAATATTAATTAATAACTAAGTGAAAATATTTGATGCAACTTCAACACCAAATGGTTGTGGCTGAATATTTTGCAGTAATGATTCCTTAAGTTCTCTTCTTTCCTTTTATATTTTCTTTAATCCATCTGACAAATTTTCTTTAACAATTTTATCAGATAATAATTGAAGTTTAATTGTTTAAAAGATTGTGATGTATTTAGATGTGTTTTTAGGTCCAGCTTTTTGAAAAAACTCTACTTTTTGCTGGTAAATGATGCTGTAATAATATTAATTTTATCAAATTCATAAATTTTAATAATACTAGATCATTTGTTATATAGAATTCTTCAAATTCATAGAATTTTTGAATCACTTATTAATAAATTATACAATTCAAAATCATTTATATTTCAATTATCAAATCATTTTACAGAATATACAGTTAACTCTTTATAAATGCACCTTCTATAAATGTACACCCTTTATATGTATCTTTTTATCTGATTCCAACTTGGACCTTAGTGCTAAATGCATGTTTTTATATATATATACTCTGTAAATACACTCTTTATAAAAAATTTTATATAGTTTACTTATAAATTTTTTGTATTATCTTAATTTTAGATTAGTATTATATAGATTTATATATATTCTATAAATACATATCATCTTTAAACACACCCTTATATCTGATCCCAAGGAGAATGCATTTATAGAAAGTTAACTATACAGTATATATAATTAATTTAGATATTTATGACTAAATAATATAATTATATTATTTAATTATAAACAGCTTATATTAGATTATTTAGTAATAAAATAATCTAGATATGATTAAATAATTTAAATATAACTAAATAAACTAGATATAACTAAATAATTTATCTAAAATAAAGTAAAGAATAATATACGTTTATACGCTATAATTTTTTTTTTAATTATATAATTATATTGCATTTTTCTATCTGCCTACATAATATTTAACTAATAAAATCTTCAATTTTGAAAAGTGTCAAGATCACTTCAAATTCAACAACAGTTCTCATTTTCTAATTTAAAATTAATAACTTAAATATATCTAAATAATCTAATTAAATAACTTAAGTGTGATAATTTTTTATATCTTCTTATTTTTCTTCTATATTTCTTATCTTTGAAATTACTTTTCTTTATCTTTTTCCTATTTATTATTTGTGATAATATAATTAAATAACCTAAATATGATTATGATCAAATAATTTGAATGCATCTATTTTATTATGTATTATGCGTTAATAAATATTTTTATTATAATTTGAAAACGATTAATAAAAAGAAAAAATGTATAAATTTTGAGTAATTTTAATTATTAAGCTAGTTTTATTCATATGATCATAATCAGTAGAGTGAACAAATAAAAAAATTTTTAATTTAAAAGTAGATTTTCACTTTTTCTACTGACCACTTCCTATTTATACTAATAAATATCTATGATTATTCAATTATTAAATAGATGTTTGTTTATTAGTAATAGTCTATAACATTAAAGCTTTAAGTTAATAAACATCTATTAGTCTTTTTTATTTCCTTCTTATTTTTAAGCTGTTTGGATACTAAGTTCTTTGATGAGAATATTAACTTTTTATATGTATTTAAATGCTTAAGTTTTTATCAAAAATACAAACTCTTTATATTTATTTATATGTTAGATTCTATACTAAAGTGTTTACATTTTATGCTTATTTGCTTACCTTACAAAGTATTAAAATGATATAAAAAAAATGTCAGATGACACAATAAATCTGTGATTAATTCAGCTAGTATTACAGTTAACTCTTATTATAACAAACTCTATGTCCTAGATTTAAACTTTGCTATAAGGCTATAGTGAAGATTTTAAGAGATTTGATTAGCTAATTCACTATAACAAGAGTATTTTTATTATATTTG